GACTGGGCCCTCCTGACAACATATTCAAATTACATGAGACAAAGCCTTACCATCATCGCTTCTAAGGGGCACTCTGTCTGTACTTCTTCCAAGACGAACTAGTTTGTTCTTCTGGCCGTCTATGGTACTTTCAGTATTTTTTGCCAACACAGAATTCAGTTGCATCAATTCTTCTCCAGTCGTCTTTATTCATTGTTAAGTGCCATTGAGTTGGTTCTAATTCATAGCAAGACTGGATAGCATTTCTGAGGAGTGGCTAGTGGGTTTGAACTGCTCATCTTTGGGTTAGCAGTCCAGTGCTTATCCTACAGCACTACACCAGGACTCCACATGCATGTGAGGTGATTGAAATATCATGGCTAGCTTGGGTCAGGCACACCTGAAAGTGACATCTTTACTCTTTTGCACTTGAAAAAAGTGTTTAAAATATGTTGTTAAGTGCCGTTGAGTCATTTCTGACTCATAGCAAGTTTGTACAGGGTTTCCAAGCAGCAGGTTTGAACCACCAATCTTATAGTTCACAGTCCAGTGCTTATCCACACCAGAGTCCACCAAAACAGAGCCTTTCTTAAGACAACCACAACATACCTAGTATGGGGCTTGGCTTCTCCAGGCAAGAAGACGGTATACTGCTCTGGCCCTGCCTGAGAAGAATTGAAGAGGACAGAATGAACATGCAATGGAATTAAAGAACAAAGCCGTTTATAACTTGTTATTTCTGCAGTGAGGGCAGCCAAGTGGGAGGAGGTAGAGAAAGGCAAGCAATTGTTAGTTGGCACTTAGCATGTATGCGTAGGTGAGTGTGTGAGTGAATCTGAGTGGCTTTCGTATTAGAGATGGATGGCGGGGAATTGTGTAGAGGGCTTGACCACAGTCAGCACCTACAAGCCTTTGGTGCTGTGCTCATGTGCCCAAGAATGTCAATATGAGCATGAATTGCTGGGGTCAATAGGAAGAGGGCACAATATGGCTGGCTTGTCACAAGTGCTTCCAGTGTACTTCATGAACAAGATTTATATCAGTCAGGGTCTCCAGAAAACAACCAGTAGGAGGTGTGTGTGTGTGTGTGTGTGTGTGTGTGTGTGTGTGTGTACGAACGAGCGAGCTTCAAAAAGTTCCCTTGTACATATTGTTATTAAGTACAGTCGAGTCAATTCCAACTTGTAGCAACCCTGCATAGGGTTTCCAAGGGACAGCTGGTAAGCTTGAACCACCAGCTTTGCGGTTCAAACCAACCTCGCAGTCCAGTGCATTAACCCACAGCACCACACTAGGACTCCAAATCAATCTCTAGATTTATAAAATAAGAGAGCGACAGAGAGATGGGGGGAGGGGTGTGTGAAGATAGATGCCAAGACAAAAGGAAGCAGAAGCTGAAGAGACAAGGACCTTCCCCCCACTCTGAAGTCAGCCAGCAAGGAACTGTGAGAGAATGAAGTTCTGGCTGTTAAAGTCATCTGCTTGTGTGTTTGTTACAGCAGCACTATGTAGCTAAGACAATATGTATCTATACCCAAAGTACATAATATCCTATTTTATAGAGCGTATCATGGGTGTTAAGTGATACATGGCTATGTCATGTATCATATATATGTCATGTGTATATATATGTATATGAAGGGGCTTCAAAATATTCCTGGAGAAATACCATTATCTTCTAACGCCATTTATTTTTCCATGAACTTTTTGAAGATCCTTTCCATTTTGTATTTTAATTTAAACACCCTAAGCTGCTGACCTTTGTCCTGGACTGAGGGGCCAGGGGCAGGAGCAGTCCCAGAACACTGACCTTTGTGGGTCAGGCCTGATGGACAGCTTCTCAAGAGGAGGTCTGACCCTGTCGGGCCGCTGCACAGGTGAGTAAGTGCTTAGCTGCTACCTGAAAGGGTGGTGGTTGGACCCCACCAGTAGCTGCACAGGAGATAGATACTGTGATGTGTTCCAGAAAAGCCACGGCCTATGGGGCAGCTTTACTGGTTCACAGGGTCAGCAAACAATTGTGTGCTGCCTTGGCTCCTTAACAATTACTTGCAAGATCTTTAAGCAGTCTAGAGAGCTTTGATCCCCAACCTTTACATTTTAAGATTTCCCCAGAGGGTCTTCAAGGCAGCTCTGTTCTGGGACTCCAAGCCTGGAGGCCTGTATCCAGCACTATCTTCTAGACCAGTTGGAGCCGGACTTTGGTCAGTTTGCTTTTTAGCAAAAAGTAAGCCCTGGGCATTGAATCTTAGAGCTGGCTGACACCTAGTAAATGAGATGGAGTCTTCTGGTCTGGAGTTCTAGTAACAAAGTGCTTATGAGTAGAAAGTTGAATGGAAAGATGAGGTGTTCCACTCCCATTAAGATTTATAGCCTCAATGAGTTGCTATGATTGGCTATTTAAGCAAGCAGTGCCCTATGAAAACCTTAAAGACTTTGGAAGTTATTTTAAGATTAAATAGGGCACTGTGTTCTATCAAGTAGGTCCCTGGATGGCACAAATGATTTACACTTGGCTGCTAACCAAAGAAAGGTCAGCAGTTCTAATCCACGCAGCAGTGCCTCACAAGAAAGTTCTGGAAGTCTACTTCTATAAAGGTTACAGCTGAGAAAGCCCTATTGAGTTCAGTGCATCTCTGTTTCACATGAGGTTGCCGTTAGTTAGAATCAACACGAAGGCAACAGGATTTTTGGTTCTGTCCAGTGCTTAGCTCAGTACTTGCTGGTGGTGGTGAACCGGGACTGTTACAGGCAGAGTGGACCTTATCAATGCCTACCTTCTGGATGCCCCTCCCTTGGTTTAGGGACCTAGTAGGGAGGTTGGCAGGATGTATCCATGGCCAAATTAGAACTCAGAATGTAGGAGGGAGCTTCAAAATGTTATGGAAAAATTCCACTATCTTAATTCCATTTTTCAGTGAACTTTTGAAGCCCCTACATTCCCACAGAAACGTTAGACACAGCATCAGCACAGCTTTAGTTCTGCAATTGGTCATCTTGGTGTATGTGGTATTATTAGGCATCTGAGAGAACTTAACCCTCATTTATAAAGAACTGCCATGGAAAAGGGGGCCCTCAGGAATACAGGTCATCTCATTGGAGCTGAATCCACAGTGACCCCTGCTTCACAAACACAATCTCATAATCCCCATGAAAAGTCCACAAGCGAGGTTTTCTAGTTATCCCCAATAAAAGACAAGCTGCGGTTTGGAGAGAGCTGACCTACCCTCACAGAGCTATGAAGTGAGGGAAAGGGTATGAAACCCTGTATCCTAGAGCCCAGAGCCCAGGATCCTGCTGTTCCCCAAGCTAAACCTCTAACTCAGGCAAACAGAGCCTGCTGTGAGTTGGGGCTTGTTGGGAGATGATGAAAGTAAAGCCCTGGGGTTTATGTGATTCTGGTTTAGACATTTAACTCCCTGAAAGCCTAAACTTGCTTTCAGCAGTTAGCACCAGTGGGAGATAAATGAAGGCCCTGCAAAGCATCATCTCTCCAGAGCCCAGAGCAACAGTGGGTAAACTGGAAAATCACAGGGAGGAAGGATTGGGACCCTCCTGCTCCTCTGTAGCTGGTGTCAGGAGGGGCGTGGGCTCCTGCAGCATGGAGAAGGTGCTGGGGCTCAGAATGGCTACCCTGTTGGGGTAAAAGCTGGCTCAGCCAGGGGGCCTATGAGCAGCATCTGAGTCCCTTCAGCAGTTCCCAGAGGGATGGAATGCTGCTTGCCTGCCTACATTTGCCTGGAGAAATTTCAGCGACTTTGGGATTTCATCAACATATAATCTCCCCTAGGGCTGGGTTAACTTTCCTTCCCACAATAACCTGTCAATTCTTAGGCCTCACCACTTGTATCTCTGATCTCCTTTGGAACTGTCTTCCCCTCGCTCACCCTTTGTCCTGCCAGGTTGACCCCACCCATGTTCCTAAACGGGACCTTGGCACGGGCTATTCCCTCAGACTGGAATGTGTTCCTTTCCGATGGCTCCTGTCTTTGCTCAAATGTCACCTTTTCATTGAGGCTTGTATTGATCAACCTTTTTCCAACACTTGCCATCCCATCTTAACCTGCACCCTCCCCATATTTACCTTTCCATATTCCAATTATTTATCACTTTTCCTCACTAGGTGCTGTGCAGTCGATTCTGACTCAGTTACAATGTATAGGATTTCAGAGACTAAATCTTTGCGGGAACAGAAAGCATCTTTCAGGGCTCGAACCGCCCAGGATCACAGAACTTGTACTTTCCCTTATAACACCGAAGGGACTGACCGAGGTCACAGCTGGCAGTGTGTGGATCTGGACCTGAGCTTCCCCCACCATTTACTGCGGACCGACTTCATTTACACGGGTTTTCCTCAGGTTCTAGGGACCATTAGAGTAGGTGTCCCCCAGCGCTGACTGAGAGGCTGCTCGATGGCAGAAAGCCCTTACTTTGGTGGCTAGATCGAAACAAATCTTAGTCCGGCCGATCAGCAGGTCAAAATCTACCTTTGCATCAGCTTGAAATGGCCTTTTAACCAAGGCTGACCGTCCACTCCGGGGCCAGGAGAGCCCAGAACTCCCTGACCTCAGGCTCCTCGGCCCCGCCCGTTCCCAGGACGCCCTGCGCGCAAGAGCCTAATTTGGTTCGTGTCTTACGTCAGTTCCGAACGCAGCCTGCCATCTAGGAAGGGTCACGCCCCCCCGCCCCGATGGCTGCCTTTAGGGTGTTGGAGTAGGCGCTTCATGGAGCGAGAACCCGGTATGCAGACGGGAAAGGAGTTGGCATTTAGTGAGGATCGCACGAGTGTTTTCCGTGTATCCGTTCGTTTACTATCGCATAGACATTGTGTGTAAAAATAGTAATGTGAGGTAGACATTTTTATCCCCATCTTGCAGACGGGGAAAATGAGGCTAAGAAGATGTAGTGGCTTGTTTGGGAAGTGGAGTGGCAGAAGGTGATAGCCAGGTCTATGTGATGGCTCAGCCCTCGCTCCTTCTCCGGAGGGCCTGGGCTGGGCGTCCTCCCTGCCTGGGGCCGGCCTAGCGAAGCAGTAGCTTGCGGAAGGCCGTGCCCGGCGAGGTCGCGCCGCGCGGGAGTTGGTCCGGGATCATGGCTGCGCTGTGCTCGGCGCGCAGCGTCAGGCGCGGGCACGCGGCGCGTAGGCGATGTAGGCCGGCCGCGCTCACGTTTCGGCAGAAGTCCACGTGCAGGGTCTGCAGCGCGCGCCCGTGAGCCGCCACGGCCGCCAGCGTGCGGTTGGTGATGCGCGCGCAGTTCTCCAGCCGTAGCGCGCGCAGGCGCGGGCAGCAGTACAGCAGGCGCGTCAGGCAGTCGTCGGTGACATGGCCGCAGCCGGCAAGGCTGACAGACGCAAGGTTAGGGCACCTGTGGAGAGAGCGCGGTGACCCGGCGTCCAGGCTGAGAAGGGCGTCCTCTTCTCTGCCTTGGCCCTCCCGTTGGGTCCCTTCTTATTATTCCTACCAGAGTCCTGGTGGAGCGCAATAGAATAAGCACTGAACTGTTAGCCTAAAGGTTGGCAGTTCAAACCTACCAGCCGATCCTCAGAAACTGTCGCTGTGAGTCAGAACGACACCTGGTGTGGCCCTGCAAGATCAGCACTGGGTTGCGAACCACAAGGTTGGCAGTTCAAACCCACCAGCTGGTCCGCAGAAACCCTATATAGGGTCGCTATGAGTCGAAATCGACCCCACGGCACTTAGCAACATTTCTGGAAAGAAGGTCTGGTGGTGCTGTGGGATAAGCTTGGTCTGCTAATCACAAGGTTGGCTGTTCAAACCCAGCAACTGCTCTGCGGGAGAAAGACGAGGCTGTTCGCACTGGTAGATTTGCTGCCTGGAAACCCTATGGAGTTCTACACTGTCATTTATAGATCTAAATCAGTCTAAATTGTCCAGTCGCAGTAGGTTTGGTTTAGGTTCACAGCCGTGAACCTAGCGTAATTTTAACACTTGCAGGAACAAGCTGAACAAGTTACAGAAACTTGCCAGCTGTCTGGATTTGAACCAGTGCTTTCTAGCCCATTGCCCCTGCCCTATGCCACCGTATCACAACTTAATGTGCACCAAGCACAGAGAGTGGCCCAGGGAGCGTCTTAGCGCTTAGTCCATTCTGGCTCATAGCGACCTATAGGACAGAGTAGAACTGCTCGTTAGGGTTACCGCGGCCGTAAATCTTAATGGGACTGGGCAGCCTCATCATTTTCCCATGGAGCAGCTGGTGGGTTTGAACCGCTGGTCTCAGAGTAGCAGCGCCATGCTTAATCACTGTGCCACCAGGACACCCTCAATAGGAGGTCCAACCCCTGCCAGCCAGCCAGGGGCTGCTGTGGGCAGAGGATGCTGGTTTCTGGAGTGACAACTGTTTCATTGACGCATTATGGATTGGTTATCTTCAGGGCTGAGTGAGAGTGAGTGAGTGAGTGGAGTAAGTGTGTGTGTGTGTTTTCTCATCTAGCTTCAAGCTGAGACCCCTGAATAGCCCTGGCAGGACTTGGGTGGAAGAAGGGAGTTTCCTTAGAGAGGGTATGCTTAGAGACAGGCTCATCCATCCTAACCCCTGAGACCTTGCTGCATACCTGTCAGTATTGGCTCTGGGTTTTAGAACTCTGCTTTCATCTCAGATGACTGGGGACCCCATCTTGGAAAAATTCAGGATCTAGAGGCAGTGTAGTGTGTGTTAGCCGTACAGGTGGCCTGTCAGCCCCTCTGCTCCAGCCACACCAGCACCTCTGGCACTTGTCCTAGTCCCACTCCCCAGTTCATGTGCCTTCCCCTTTTCTTGCCCCATCAACCCCCTATGCCCCAAATTTGCTCATGAGGAAGCTGATTCAGAGAGCTCAACTGACTTGCCTATAGAGCTCTCACTTAGATCTGTCCTGCTCAGCTTGTCATCAGAGACCTTTTTGCCCACTTGAGGACCATGGTGGAGGGCCAATGATCAGCTGACTTAGACAAATATTTGGACCTTGCATCTGTAAAATGGGAACATTCGACCAAGCCATTTTGATGTAATTCTCACCTTCCATGGGGAAAACTCATATTCAGTCCCCAGCCAGTACACCTCACGTGCAGCCCATTGCCTGTCTCAGTGGAGGCACCTGGTGTATTGTGAAGTTCCAGACTAAAAAAGACTACGCAGGAACACTTGGTCTTACTTCTGAAAGTCAGCCTATGAAAACCCTATGGGTCACAATGGTCCAGTGTCACCAGACTGGACAGCCTTTCATTCCCTTGTCATCTGGGGTTGAGGCTAACTCCTTGGCAGCTAACAGCAAGACTCAAAAATCAGACCAGGGGATGCTAGGTACTGAAGGGAGGAAAGAGGAAGGGAAGGAGCTTCGTTCATTGCGTCCACCTGGCAGCTGCTGAGCGCTGGGCTGACTGCAGCACTTAGCTGACTTGAAGAAGGCTCTCACACCCTCCCCTAGAAGGGTTGTGGAGACAGCCAGCTAGCTCCCCTCCCTCAACAGCACTTCATGGGCCAACGGAGAGAATGGAGGGCTGACTGCTGCATCAGGACCTGACCTTGAAACTTTAGGCCCAGCTGCACCCACCCTGAACTAGATGGCTGCCAGAGGGACAGGAGCAGCTGAAGCAGCTCCAGGACTTGTGAGGAGGCTGGGGGAGGATTCGGGATGGTTTGCCCTACGATTTGATCTCTCTCCTGGATCTGCATCCCACACAGGGCCTAGGGTGTCTGAAGTGGACCTCTTCTGAGGTGCCCAAGGTGGAGCCATCTTGGTATGGTCGGTTGGGCTTTGCGCTTCCCTGCCTCTCAGGAGCCTCACTGAGCCTACCTGTTGCACACCTGGAGGAGGAAGTCACTGACCAGGCTCTCATGCTGGCTGCAGATGCTCCTCTGGAGGGCGCTCTTGAGCCAGTCCTCAATGCTGCACACCTGCACTCGGCTGGAGTGCCAGCAGATGGAGAGGCTCCTGAGTGCCGGGCCCAGCAGGAAGTTGTCCTTCTTGAGTTCTGTGAGGGAATGAAAGTGCAGCAGGGGCCAGAGTGCGGGGTCCTCAAACACGTCCTGGAGCTGCGAGCAGGTCCTGGCCAGGCTTTTCCTGCTGTCCTTGTCCAGGAAGGAGAAGAGGTGCAGCAGGCACTCCCGGTTGAGCTGGGTGATGTGCATGGTTAGCATAGATGAGTGTGCCGGGCTGGAGCCCAGAGACCTGGCCTACCTCCCGCTCCTCCTCCCTAGCTCAGGCCGGTGGACATATATGGTTGAGGAATGGTGTTTATTTTTGGCTAACAACTGGTGCTGCAGCTCTAAGGAGAGGGACGCCAGCCAGCCAGGATCCACACAGACATGTAGCCATCTGTGGTTCGGCTTATGTTCAGAAGGATTGAAATCCTGGCAGAAAAGCAGCCTGTTGAAGTTAGAGTGTGCTTAAAAGGGTTTTCTTTCCCTTTTAACTGACAGTGGTACTGAGCGGGAAGGTTTGGTTTTTCTGAAAGCATTTTCATTCCAGGTACAGGCGGGAATGGCTCTGTCTGGGCTTGCAGCCTGCTCACTAGGACATCTCTCATCAGAAACATTAACAACAGTTTTTATTAACCAAGTACATGAAGAACTTTTATTCCACCCTCAGTAGGAAGAAAATCCCGGTGGCATAGTGGGTTAAGCATCAGGCTACTAACTGCAAGGTCAGCAGTTCAAACCCACCAGCAACTCCTAGGGAAGAAAGATGTGGTGGTCTGCTTCAGTCAAGATTTTATTTCAGAAACCCTAGAGCTCTAGTACCGTAGTGGTTACACATCGGGCTGCTAACCTCAAGGTCAGCAGTTCGAAACTAACATCTGTTTCGTGGGAGACTGATGAGGCTTTCTGCTCCCGTCAACATCTACAGCCTTGGAAACCCTGTACAGGGTTGCTATGTGTCGGAACCGACTCCACAGCACATAACCACCACCACCAGGTAGGTCTGCCATATCTCAGAAAGTCACTGTGACAGTCGATTTGATGACAGTGTGCTCAAACTTCTAGGAAGACGCCTTCACTTCTTTTCTCAGTAATGGTGTCCAGGTGAGGCTGAACTGCCCTCCACTCGGCAGCCTCTAAACCTACTGGTTTTTATTGTTTCATAAAATATTTCAGTAGCTTAACTTTAAGATTCATGTGTGTGTGGAATTTGTTTACTTGAGTTTACATGTTTCCTATATGTAATTCTGCTATGTCCAGCCCGTATTTCCCCAAATATCTTTACTAAAGTGCTTGAAAATTATTTTAGCCTATGCTTGCCTTTAAAGGCAGCCACTTTGGCATCCCTTCTTTGTGACTTTTTAGGTGGCACACATGGTTAAGTGCTTGGGTGTCAACCAAAAGGCTGGCAATTAAACCAAGCCAGCAGTTCAAACCAACCAGAGACACTTTGAGATAAAAATTTGTCAATCTGCTTAAAGGTCACAACTTTACTTTGCCCACATGGGATCACCATGAGTTGGATTCCACTCAGAAGCAACTGCTGGGTGTTTTTTCTATGTGGTTGCCTTCAGTTCCTTCTAGAGAAACTAGTGGGTCCCCAGGCCCCTCCCAGACTTACCTCTAGACAGGCTGCCTGTGGAGATAACCCCATCAGGTTCTCCCTTCCTAAAGTTATCTGAGGTAGATTTTCTATACTGCATCACTCCCAATCCTATTTCCCTGCCTTTTAATCCCACCACTGTGGATTCCCAGCTTTGTTTATTGGGGAAGGGGTGGGGGGTGGGGTCCTGACTTGAAGGTTTGGTGCCACTAGTGCAGTAGTGAGATGCCAGAAGAGTGTTTGTTAGACCAGGGGACATGTTAGACCACTGTGTGGAGACCCTGTTTCCCAATTGTGTGCAATAACATACTGTAAACTATACGGTACCTGCTTCTAAAACTACAGCTTGGTCAGGCCTGATGCAGCTTCACCCTTAGAAAAGCATCATGCAGCAAAGGAAAGGAAAATGGGTCCATTCTTATCAGCACCCTTTTGAGGTGCTGTGCTCAGCTGACTCCCATGCCATTATTCCAGCTCCACCCACATGGTGTGGGAGTGGTAGCCTTAAAAATGGCACAAATGAAGAAACACTGGGAATCATGTGAACGGTTCAGAATCACAGCTGTTTAGTTTTTCGTCACTCAGATAAGCTGCAGCACCCCAGAAGTTTCCTAGAAAGCATTATCATCCCACATTCCCTTCCAGGTCCTTTCCAAACTCTCACTTCACAGAGGATTGATCCCTGGGAATGGGTTTGGGCAGTGGGATCCTACACACAGCTGAGTTATCACTGGCCCATGACCAGCTCCTCCTCTAGGTGGGATATAGGAAGTCTTCCAGAAAATAGCAGCAGCATGCCAGTAGGCAGGGGCTGACTCCCAGCTAGGGGAGCGAGCTGGACTCTTCTGCACAGCACCTTTCCAGTTCATGTCTTGCTGAGCAGCACAGCTGTCTCAGGCCTGGAGGGAACAAGTGAGCTGCAGGAAATGTTTTCTCCACTTTCAGAAGATAGGTGGAATCACCAAGTAAAAAGCTTTAAGGGAAGCGCCAGTTTATGGGGCTGTTCTGGTTTTATAATTTGTAGGGGGCCACGGAGGTGGATAGGTAGTATACCGAAGCTTACTTTAAAGCTTTACCTTACATACTTTCTAATCATACCTACTTGTCTGTTTTATTTTAAAGGCTCAGAGCCCCAAGATGGCATCCTCTGCATAGATAACTGAAGGAGTTTTTATAAGGTCAGTAGTCATGGTGAATGAGCAAGACCTCCAGTTTCGGACTTGGCCACCAAGGGTCCATCACCCTGCCCATACTGGCCCAAACTGTGTGTTCTCTCAGCACCTGCTACCTACTCATGTACTGATAGGCCTACAGCTTGAGCAAGTTCATCAGAATTTACTTAGATCCACTGAAACGTGCTCAAAAATAATAGTCAAAAGGAAGGAGACCAGACCTCTTTAATGATAATTTCCATGAAACAATTCAAGTTGGTGAGGCATAAAAGGGATGTGATTACAACTTAAAATGAAATTGGTCACTTGCACAATTAACAGTCCTCTCGGCATCATACAAACTAGATTTTAATGGCAGATGACTACATGGAGGACAGTCTGGAGTCCAGCACACTCACACCTGAGGGGAGGGTACGACATCCAGTGATGAGATACCAGGGCCTTGGACTCCAGCGTGACACCACCATGTTGCCCACTTGTCCTTGTGGTGGTGTGGGCATTCCTATGGCTGCACCCTAGTCACTAGGGTGTATGACAGGAGGCAGGAGTGGATTCTGCCCTTGAGCCTCTCTGGGGCCACTTCAGTAAGAGGGCCCATGAGAAAATGGTGTGGTAGAGGCTAAGGTGGGTTAAGTATATCTAAATAGACTATGTACACTAAACCAAGGAATGAGAGGGTTAGCTTTAAGAAATAAATATGCCCCTAACCCCAGAAACCAAGCTGCTGAATCGGTTTCACAGGTGAGACACACATTTAACATGTAAGCAGATTTAATTCTATTACATTTATCATCACTATACACTGAGTAGAATACAGTGGATAAGCAAAGTTTCTCCACCATGGAGAGAGATTTGTGTTGCCACAAACTGTTTCTATCACCCAGCTACGTGGGAGGAATTCTAAGAAAGTTTTCTTGTTCCAAGAAGCCACGTGGACTCGGCGTGAGGCCCTGCCTCGGCATAAGCTCCCTGAGGGAGAAGCCACATACATGCGAGATACAACATGGCATAAGGGAAAATCCCTGAAGAGCTCAAAGAGTTGGCTTTAAAATAGGTGTGGTAAGGCTGCACAGTTAAATCTTGAAAATGCAAACAGGCACATTTATATCACTGGTGTCCAAGGGTACGATTCAAATAGATCCAATCACGTTTTCAAAAGAGCCTTCATGATATAATTTCAACATCTACGTTTAAGGAAAGTCAAGCAATAAAAATATGACAGAAACTCAGAGGAGATGTGTTCATCTCGTAAGCCAAAATGCTGCCTGTCAGAATTGCTTTCCCAATCAGTAGTCCAGTCTGCTGCTTTTCTTCACCAACGTGAACACTGCCCACATCTTTATTGTTTAAATAATAGCTGCCCATCCAGAGATCTGTGAAAAAGACATATATCTTTTTCAGCTGTGGCGCTGCGGGTTAATGCGCTGGACTGCAAGGTAGGTTTGAACCGCAAGGTTGGTGGTTCAAGCTCCTTGGAACCCCCTATACAGGGTAGCTCTGTGTCAGAATCAATTCAATGGCACTTAACCCCCTAAGCAAAGGAACCCAGAAATGAAACATAGGAGACAGCAAAATCATAGGAGATACCTATTTCCAGTTCATTTAGACATGGTGGTAATAAAGGGTTGGTATGTTAGATCAAATCATGTCAGAATGCCATTTTTGTAGGTAAAAAACACCATTTCATATGGTTCAACCTAATTTAGCAATATCTTAAATGCATGTTTTTCTCAATAATCTCCTAGGACTCTTTGTTTCTAAGATGTAACACATAAATTCTAGTGACAATGTAAGCAGGCGCTGACTAGAACTCTGCCATGATGGAATGTTCTAGGCCTGCACTGTGGCTGCTGAGAACTGAAATGTGACTAGTCTGACACTGGGATCATCTGGGCTCGTGGCTAATGTACCAAACTCTGAAATTCTATGACTTGGCTGCAATTTACATCTTGTCATTTTAAAATGTCCGCAAATGGTGTGGGATTTATCCAGCCAATACTGACAGGGAGCTCAGCCACATCTGAAACCAGACAGCTGGCATAGGCAGAGAGTCACCAATGGCACTGACCTTTTTTTACATTCAGACACGTAAAAATTTTGACTTTTTTTTTCCCCATAAAAAGAAAAAGATTACCAACAAGTCCGGCTGACTGACTTAACATGAAATATATTCTATCCCTTGTAACAATTTGTAGAAAACTGAGGAGGAAAACAATGACTGGGACAAGAGATGAATCTGAATATGCCAAGTGGGTCTGTGCCTGTTTTGAAGTTCCTACTCTACGTAATGCTACCAAACCAAGTCCACTGTCATAGTCAACTCTTGATAGTGACTCTCTGAGACAGAGGAGAACTGCCCCACAGGGTTTCCATGGCTCCTAATCCTTACAGAAGCAGACTGCTAAATCTCCACAGAGCAACTAGTGGATTCGAAC